GGGAAGTGTTTTTGATAGAGAAAGAAAAACTGATCTCGGGTGGGTGACCTCCAAACAATAGAGGGAACCTCTAAATGATACAGGGAGGTAAAATTCCTGACCTGACCTGGATGAGTTCGTGGTCTCTAAAACCGAAGAATGAATTTTAGGAACAAATGGAGGTTGAAAGTAGAATATTTATTGGGAAAGAAAGCTTCTTTCTCAGAGAGGACAGAAGGGGGCCTGAGTAGGTTGCCCAGGAAGCTGTCTCTTTCAGGTTATTTTTATAGGGCAAAACCAGGCAGGGCTAAGGTAGAGAAGAAGGGGTTTCACTTAGATGGAGAAAATGTGAACTTGTTTAGCTGGATGTGGGGTGGGACTAAACTATGGTCAACCACTGGGATTGCAAGCACCATTGCTCAGGTAAAATTGATTAAGTCTAGGGCCAAACCGGGAAGCAAGTCACTTAGCAAGGGGGCATGAATGTAAAACAGGGCTTTATCTGGCAGCCATCAGATAAGGATTCCTTCTGGCTTTCTCAGGGTAATGATCAGTCCAGGATGCTAATCTTTAGGGAGCTTAGCATTTGCTTGGTCTGTGCTTCACAGCAAGAGCATCCCTCCCTCCCACAGTTGTAAGGTTGCTTGTCTCCTTTGGTGTCTCCTTGGAGGGCCTGGCCCTGTCTGACTGCCTATAATACTTCTAAGTCAGCTGCCTGCAACATTTTCACACTTCAGATCTTCTGAATGTACAATTAAATATGAAAATGCTTATATAATTCTTTGAAGTTCAATTTTTTTGTATTTTTTTAGTAAAGGTCTACAAGGTCTACGGTGTCTCACTATGTAGATCAAACTCAAACTGATCCTCCTGTTTTCAGCCTCCCAAAGAGCAGGATTACAGGTGCACACCACCACACCCAGTCTCCATCACCTTCTCAGCGCACCTGAGGGGGAGGGGCATGGGGGGAAGCATCTGGAATGTAGTGTAAAAGGGTTAATGTGGGTGAAGTTAACAGTTAGGTGAGAATGCTAGACTTTTTAGGCCCTGAGGAGAATTTTAGTCTTTCTATAATTGAGAAGTCATGGAACACAGTCAGTTAATTGTCAAATACAGTACAAACACAGGGTTGCCACAGGGCTTGGAGCTGAAATGAGTGGCTTCACAGTGATTTGTTACACAGCAGTGAGAAGCTCAGAGTCTTAAAACCTGGTCAGTGAATTTTCATAGTACTATGCTCACAGCACAAGAAAACTTCAAGTGAAATCTTATATCTTCCTAGTAGCTTGATAGACGTTTCTCCAGCAACACTCCACTCATGAAATATGTACACGACATTATCTTGATGAAAGGTGAACACGAAGCTGACTGCTGGCGCTGTGAAGTAAAGCCACATGGCATCCTCCTTCCCCTAGGAAGTATTTTGAGGGGCAGTCACAGGGAGGGTCAGTTAAGAGTTACTAACTCAGTCCTCAGCCCTGGAGAAATGTGGGGAGCCAGGAAGAACAGAGACAGAAGCTAATATAGGAAAATTTCAAGAAAATAGGGACTATAATATGGAACTTTCTGAATTCTGTGATGTTTCTGACACTTGTTTTTCAGAATATTTAATTTCTCATGACCCTGCTTCTCATTCATCTGTATGCATAGTTAGGTCACAATTTTGCATTCTTCTTTTTAGAAAGCCTCTCTTCCAAGTGTAAGATCTTTCAATCTCGAATCCTTCTTTGCACGTGATCACAAAGCTTTGAACTTCAACCCAGGAAGGGCAGGAAATGTGAGGAGCTCCCCAACCCTCCTC